TTTGCTGGACTGGGGATATGTGGAACTTCTCTTTAGATTCTGGCTGCAGCAGCTCCCAGTCAGTCTGTGGTCATGACCAATACTCTATGTATACTGTGTTCCTAAGTTATTGTGTTCTTTAGGTTACACTTATTAAACACGTTTTTGACTACAGTATTTTCAGTGTAATATGGGTTTATCAGACCTAATCATATTGTAAGTCAAGGAGCATCTCTGTATAATCAACACTCAGTAAACCTTTCAGGAGGATGGATAATTTGTGACTAGAAGGGACCATGTTTTGCACAAAGAAGTATGTGAATGCAGCTCATTTAAACAAGTTGTGTAAGGGGGTCAGAGGATACCATTTAGAAATCTTTGAAGAGGACTCAATAGGATGGTGAAAGGAAGAATCCATGGTTAAATTTTTTGCAAGCTTTATCATGTAGTCTTTAGTCTATTCAGTCTATTATGAATGCTGTTTATACTTTTAAAAAAATTAATTGCATATGGTTAGTAGATATTTATATTTTTAAAAATAAAAATGACTTGCTGGATTTTGTTTCCATTGACTTTCAGTTAATACTTTAGTATTATAATTCATCCTAACATTTCTTTACTTTGCTTATTTCTCATGAAGTTTCTTTTAAAAGATTTTCTCCTCCTTGGCATACATTTTATTTGCTTTGATTGAATAGAAGAGAACATAGTTTTAGAAAAAAATACAATTCTAGAATTAGGGAGAATGTTTAGGTGCTATCAATAATGTATAAATGAATTGATGGCTACTTATATTTTATTTGATTGGCCTGCTAGAATTCTACTAGTTTCCTGGATGATCTTTATATTTATGCTTACAGTATTTTAAAAAATGTATTCTTAGAGTTGAGCAATCAGTAAATCTCCATTATTTGGCCATCAACTTACATAGTATTCATTTTGCTAAATACATTACTATAATTGTCACTGCCTAGGGAGTCCTAGAAATTAGGTTTGTTTGGGAAATACAAACTCGATTTAACTTCTCAGCATAATCTTGCTCATTAGAAATATAACACATCTTAAACATGAGTGGAATATTCTTTAAAAAAATCTCAAACTTATTTATTATTACATAGTATAGATTCTATAAACGTATTCTTTTCTTTATGTGTTTCTTGTTTATAATTCATTATAGGTAATGAACTACAATAAGATTTTTGTTCCTCACATATACATGTATGTACTACAGAATGCATTTGGAAAGAGTTTGAAAATCATTGAGGCCCCAAGGCTCTGAATAAAATAGGAAAAAGACTCTTTTGAATTTTTCAGAGTGAAAATCTTTATAATTTTGCTTAGATTAAAATCCTTTTGCAGCTGGGCTCAGTGGTACCTGACTGTAATCCCAGTGGCTCAGAGGCTGAGGCAGGAGGATGATGAGTTTAAAGCAAGGCTCAGCAAAAGTGAGGTGCTAAGCAACTCAGTGAGACCCTGTCTCTAAATAAAATACAAATAAGGTTGGGTATGTGGCTCAGTGGTTCAGTGCCCCTGAGTTCAATCCCTGGTTAACCCCCCGCCCCCTAAAAAAATTCTTTTGCAGACTTTTAAAGTCTTACTTAAATTATATAAGACTAGAATAGGAAGTTTTAAATTCTTTTATAAGTATATGATATCCTTTTGCAATCTTTAAAATCAGGACATCATGGGAATAAGAGCCAGAAGATAAGAGTACACATATTCTTCAAGTCATTAGTGCTTCACAAATATTGATAGTCTTTAATTTTGTTAGAAAATCACATGTAGTATCTGTGT